ACAAATCCTGAAATCATTTTTTCTGAGTTGGAAGGAGAGTTTCTAACCTTTCTCAGTCTTCTTTTTAGCTTATTTTCAAGGAAGCATCCAACTTTCATTTATAGTTACTATCTTTTTCAGTTCAAACCTAAATTTATGTGTGCTGGCCTTATAAATCAGTTTGACAGAAGAGAAAATACCTGTTATTATTCCCACTAGCACAAAGAAGGCAAAGCAGTCTTGTGTTCCTTTAACTAGAGTCCCATCTATCTCAGGAGACAAGATCCCTGCAGGGTAACTCTAACTAACTTTCCCTGACCTAATGACAGATTAGATCACTCCCATTTGCAAGACCAGAGTAATCACAGAGAAGATTATGCAGTTTGGCGATCACTGGTAGGAAACTCTATTGAGAAGTTTGATCAATTTTTTTGTCTTTTAAAACATTTTAGGCTACAGAGTTTAAATAATTATTTTGGCTATCTGCCTTTCCACCTAAAATCTGCTTTAACTTCTAGCTGGTGTTTTGGTACTGAAGACGAGTTTAGTATTTTATGTACATCTATGGAGCTCATATGCCTGTGCTGTCGTGCTATAAATAAATACATGACTGAATGTTTGTTGGGAAGGGAATAGCATGCTTGCACCCAACTGAACAGTGGTCATTTTGTAGTGATCTAGAAATTAAATTTCTTGTGTTAAAGAGTTAGGAAATACTTGTCAAATAATCTAAATATGAAGCTGAAGAAAGAGGAAGAAATGACAGCTTTTCTATGGCAGATTCTGTTACTAGTTTTAGTTCTACAGTATTTGGGTCATCTTTCTGAATACCACCAGGAATTGCTCTCTAGTAAGTGTACACAGGGTTGTAATTTAAATGTATACATGGTGTTTTCAAGATGTATTTTCTGTTATGTAGCATGATAGCAGCAGATACTGAACTAAATGTAATGTGCTGTTAATTCTTTGACAACTGTTATATTTGAGTTACTTTTCTTTCCTTTGAAAATTGGCTATTCTTATCAATAGTCTTTGTTGTGAAAATTACAATCATTCTTGAGCCACTAAACTATATAAGTGAACTCTTAGTGTTTCATACATACTGTAGGAATCGAAGGGAATTAATTCATCATGTATCTGTGCATTTGGGTCATAGATGTGAACTGTTGTTAATCTAATGGGCCAATTAAATGCTAATTAAAGCTTATGTAATGCACCAGGGCTCCATTTCATCCAATGGAAAACAGGAATTTATGCTCATGCGTCCCTAAGGGATACATTGGCAATAAGTCTAAGCAGGCCCGTAGCCAGGATTTCGTTTTTTTTGGGGGGGGCTAAAAAAATTCAGGGGGGGTTCGGGGGGGCTGAGTTTCGGGGGGGGGGGCTGAGTCTGAGTGAAAGAGGGTCTACCCTTGCAAACCTTTTGTATCATTACCCCAATACCCCCATGCATATGGATATATTGAGTATGGTGATCAGATCATGATATGAATAAACATAACAGTTTAAATAATGCACCAGTAAGGCCTCTTCGCGAACCACCATGAGAATTTTGGGGGGGGGGCTGAAGCCCCTCAAGCCCCCCCCCCCCCCCCCAGCTACATGCCTGAGTCTAAGAGAGTGAGACACAGATTTTTCATTGGAATTACATCAGTGCAATTCACACTTAGGAACATTTGCATAAATTCTGTGTCATTTTTGTCTGATCATTGGAATTGCATACCAGTGTAAATGAATTATAGTTAATCCATTAGTCAGACATATTGGTATCTGTGACCAACTGATGATGAATGAGATTTTCATTACTGTTCTCATTCTCTATAGAACAATGGTTCTCAACCTGTGATTCCCCAAATGATTTGGCCTTCAATTCCCAGAAAACCTAAGAGCTGGTAAACTGGCTGGGATTTCTGGGAGTTGTAGGCCAAAATACCTGGGGACCCACAGATTGAGAACCATTGTTATAGCGGAAAAAAACTGTAGCCCTCCTGATATTGTTGCACTACACTTCCTACCACCATTAGCCATGATGTCTGGGAGTGATGGAAGTCCAACAAGAGTCCAACAATATCTGGAGAGTCACATGTTCCACAACCCTGCTGTATAGATCAAACAAAAAAAAATGCTGCTAGGTGGAGACTGTAGCGTTCAGTTCTCAACCAGGGAAAAATGGCAAAAACTGTGATGACATTGAGAAAGCATGAACCAGTGGGTCAATGCAATTTCTAGACAATTGAGGTCATCTCTTTGAAGGTTCTTACAGCCCTAGCCTCCTCCTCTTCTCTCCTTCTCTATAGGCCTCTTCTCTTTTTCTCTCAGCCCCTACAATTAATTTAAAATTAATAGTATTTTTTTTAAAAAAACCTGGAGATGGAGCAAATGTCTATGAACTTTCATGAAAGGAAATGACAGAGATAATAATGATGGGAAGGAAAAAGGAATACTGGATAAGCCAATAATTGGTGATACTCTTGACAGGACATTTAGATCAAGGAAAGGTTTGTTGAACCTCTTATAACTCAATACTAAGGAAACCTCCTGAGAATCAAGCATTTCCTGGAAATCTCCAGGTTGAGGTGGGGGCTATTAATAATTGGGGACTTGAACTAATCATACAGTTTAAAAATGAAGGGACAGGATATCCCTATGAGGAAAAAGGTAGGAGTTTGATTGATGCTGTGGTCCTTGAGACAAAGGGGGAAATTAATTAAATAGACTGCATATTTTGCCCCCTTTGGGCTTGGTATATTGCTTGTGGATCTTCACTTTACTGATTCCACATTGTTGAACTTATTTTTGCATAAAACCTGGAATCAGGAGGGCTTTGGCCTCCCATAATGTTAGATGTTCAGTTCACACACACATACATAATGATCTGGAAAATTGGATCATCAATGTAGTTGAGCCTTCTCAGGAACTATCAGTCATAATTGTACTGAATGATTAAGCATTAAGAGATATTAAGGTAGCCATTCTGATGAGCAATCCTAGGAATAGTAAGACTGCCTGCAATCTATCCTTTGCATGCTTACTTGAACACAGCTTACTTGAACACTGAACACATAGAAATCATTTCCAAGTACACATTGTGCTTGTCAGAGTCCTCATATTTAACATTTCAGTGATCATATATGAGAAGAGTAATCTGCCTTCACCTTACAAGTCCCCACAAATAGCCGACATTAATAACCACTTGTCTGTCAGTGTTGAGCCTTCCTTCCTCACACAGACCTTAAAAACAGTCCAGGATCGCTGTGTCTTAGCAATAGCATTTTAAGGGAAAGTATTGCTCAATTGTTTGACACTGAATATTCTTTACCTTGAGTAGTAGGACACCCAGAGTATCTTCATAGTCAAATACCAGAAAGAAGACATTATTTAAAATAAATGTAATCTGTAAGTTAAAATATAAAATCAGTTGGCACATGTTAGACCGGCAGATTTTATAATATTCACTGTACTTCTTTTTGAAGGATGTTGTTACAAGTGATACTAAAAATACTTTCCCATATGGAATTCATTATATATGATCACAGTCAGGTTTAGGTAGACAATATAATCAAAACATATTCTGCTTATATCAAATGTATATTCTATCAAGCATGTCTCATGCATCTTAATTATTTTTTTATTTTTTTTATTTATTTACGATATTTATATACTGCCTTTCTCACCCCAGGGGAGAACTCAAGGCAGTTTACAACATACTAATGGCAAAAATGTGATGCCGACATATATGTAGAAAGAAAATATCATGATAACTAAACACTAACATATAACTATAAATTAAAATCATTAAAACCATTAAACATAAGACATAAACAACATTTCGACATGAAGACAAGCATTAAAAACATCCAAGTATAAATATTAAAATCACATGATCCCAAAATCTTACACCATAGTCATTCTGATGGTCATTGCACACATTTCGTTAATTATTCTTGCACTGCATTATTTTACTGGCCAAAGGCTTGGCCACAACCAAGTCTTCATTTTCTTTCTATATGTCAGGAGGGAGTATGCTGATCTAATTTCACTGGGGAGAGTTCTAGAGCCAAGGAGCCATCACTGAGAAGGCCCTGTCTCTTGTCCCCACCAACTGCACTTGCTACGGGGGTGGGGCCGAGAACAGGACTTCCCCAAAAGATCTTAGCCTCCTAAATCTTCAAGACAGATTTCAAAAAAAATATTTTCCTTCAAAAAATAATGTTATTAAAATGTGAACATTATTCTTCATATTTGTGTGCATTCTACCACGTGAATCATCTCAGAGCCAATGTAGTGTGGTAGTTTGAGCATGGTACTCTGACCAGGGTTTGAATCCTCACTCAGCCATGGAACCCCACCGTTGGGTTTAAATGACTTGAAGGTACATAACAACAAATATACTTCATTCATCTCTGGTTTTTATTTAACTCTTTATTTCAGGTGAATGGGAAAATGACCCTTAACAAAAGCTTCCAATCAAGCTTCCTAGTCTATCCATTAAATTGGTATACTTTTATAAATGTAGTATTGCTTATCAGCTGTAAATACTGTTATGGAAAGGCCTAGTTATAATACTGTAAGGCTTTATTTTTTCAGGCATGCATTTACTGTTTATCTTTCCTTTTGGGTTTTATTTTAATAGTGATTTAAGAAATATTTTCAATAATTTTTAAGGTCATCTTTAACAAATATATTTGTGTTATATTGTCTTATTTCTAATTGTCATTATATTTCTTTTCACACCTATCTGCCTTTTAAATTCTTTTTAAAAAATAAAATTTTGTAAGGAAAGATTGTGTGCAAGAAATCAAATAATGAATTATATTGGAAGTAACAGCTTGATTATTATAAAGTTGAAATAGTTCCTTTTTACTTTTATTGGAGAAGAATATCTAGGCAGCAGTTTAATCTATACATTATTTTGCCAGGAAGGGAAACTAGTTCCGAGAAAACAATGAACTGAGTGATGCTCACACATTCACTGACTTTTGAGAATATTTCTAATGAGCCCTTTTCTGCCCTGTTTATAGAACAGAGTGTTCCGAGAGTCAACATATTGTGTCGGCAGACCCTTTAACGCAGAAGGTACAGTTCTGTTGACACTGAAGACGCCTCATAGTGTGTCCGTGTGTGTGTACTGGAAATTGCTGATAGCTCAAATGGATCGCATGGAACTGAAAAAAGTCAACACAGAACTTGATGAGGAGAGCAACAGCGGGGAAAGCACTGAAGACACCTACACCGACATGGGAGATCCAGAGAAGTCCACCATTAGCAGGTACCAAAGGATTTTCATTGCAGGGACACCAAAACCAATGCAAGAAAAGCGAAGTAATTTTCCTTGAGAAGACCAAGAGGATTCAAGATTTGGTCCTACTCAAGAAAATATGCCTGTTTGTTCCGTGAATTGAGAACAGTTTGCATTTTTACATAGATTCATTCTGGAAAGTCTCACTTATCCATGATTACTGGTGATTTGGCTTCATCTTTTCATGTTTGGTTTCTTAGTTCTGAGTTAGTTCTGAGTAATAATTTATTTTACTTCAATTTTCATTTTATTGCTGCTTGAAAGGCTCTTAGAACTGTTATTTATTAAGTGATTATATGTGTATTTTTACAATGGGTATTTTATATTTGTATTTTATGTTACTATGTTCCAGTTATTCTTTGTTTTTCCCCTTGTAAACAAATTCAATCCTTAAATACTGGCTTGAAATTTGCTAATAAATGCATACATATATATCATATTCTTCCTAGTTTACATGGTCCTGCTTCCTATTTGAACCTTTAGGGCAGTGGTTCTCAACCTGTGGGTCCCCAGATGTTTTGGCCTTCAACACCCAGCAATCCCAACAGCCAAAACGCCTGGGGATCCACAGCTTTATAACTACTGCTTTAGGGTCATCAAGAGGCGGAAATGACTCGAAGGCACACATATTGCACCAAGTTTTGTTGTTGTGCTTGTTTGCCTTGAGGTTGTTTCCAACTTATGATGACCCTAAGGTAAACCTATCATGAGGTTTTCTTGGCAACATTTATTCAGAAGGGCTTTGCCTTTGCCTTCCTCCCAGGCAAATCTGACAAGCTGTGTTCATTTTTAATTGATTGGTTTTCCCCAAATTCGTTTCATTAATTTATCTGGTATCATAATGTTTCAAAGCATAAAGATCAAAATGGCCTATTGAAGTGCTATAGCATTTATTTTTCCTTTTTTTTTTTTTTTGTTTCTTCTCCCCCTCTCCATTTCAGTCAGTTTGTTGGTGACGATGCAGAAAGTCAGAAATTCCTTTCCAATGGCTTTCTGGGTAAAAAGAAATTGGAAAACTATACAGAGGAATATGTAAGTTTATTAGCAATGGGTGAGTTGTACAGCTGTTATTGCACACATACAGTATAACTAATGATCCACTTTCATTGTTGTTTTTCCAACAGCATCCAGGAAATATTTCATTTGGGATCTCATCATTTAACCTGAGCAATGCCATCATGGGCAGTGGCATCTTAGGGTTGTCCTATGCCATGGCCAACACTGGAATTATACTTTTCATGTAGGTATCCAAGGTGTAGTATAGGAAAAAAATGGCTTAAAGAAATGGGGGAAATCAATTTGGTTCTAAAATATCTGGAAATAAGAAATTCTCATTCTATTCTATGCAGAGTTCAGATAGGTTAGTTTTTTCGACTACAGCTCCCAGAATCCCCCAGCCACCATGGTCACTTTTACAAACTATCATTTTATATATAATATCTCTCCTATCTCTTTACAATATATGTATATGCTATCTGTTTCTATTCAGTCTCAGAATGTCCTGGATATTGGTTCATGTATGCATTATTTATGGCTTTTCCCTTTCAGATAAGAATGGTACTAGCGAAAAAGAATAGTGTATTGAAAGAAGAAGCCAAGAGACATGCACAGTTCATATATTGTGTAATTTCCATTTTATATATATTTTGTAATACACTAAGTAGCATTCAGAAACAGCACAATTCCCAACTTTGGTCAGAGCTTGGAAGTAATTCATCACAAATAGCAAGTTATTTGTTATGAATCCATCTCCCAAACAACAAGGGTATTACTATATTATAAAACAATTGTAACTTGTAGTATTATAGTAACTTTTAGTGCCTCGTTATAGTTTTTTGGATATGACTTCTGCTGTGCCTCTCTCTGTTCAGTTGGCCTTGACAGCCACTTCCCAGTTGTCCAATCAATGTACAAAATGTAAAACATGCAGGCATGCAGGCTTCCATGTTATTTTTCCTATGATTGGGAGGAGAAAGAGTTGAACTGTGCCATGTCCTCTAGCACAGTCTAACTATAATTTAAGTGTCTTCACATATAGGATATCCAAATATCCTGAGCATTCACATATAAGTGAAAAAGATCCCTGTAAATAGATGGTATGTCTTAAATATTTCAACATGGGTCTATTTTACACATATATTATTGATCAACTATCGTCCCTAAGTCTCAGCTGTGAATTTATTTTTTTTCAGTGATAGTATGTAATAATAACAACAGATCTCTTTGGCTTCCATTGTATACTGTCAAGTGAAACAGGGTCATTCTTAACTGTGACAAATCTGCGAACGGACTAAACAGCCCAACCTAATTATGTATCTCTGTAACAAGGCAAATGCCACTCCTCCTGTGATGAGAATGTTTTCTGTCCATATGGCACTAAATCTGACACTGGGTAACTTGAAATGTGGCTACAGACTTACAGTCCCTCTCACATCTGACCGTGCCAAATATTCTTGCAGTGCTGACAGTAATGACATGTAGCTGACCTACACTATCTATACTGCATACACTTTGACAGGCAACAACAGATGCTTTAGATAGTTAAATTCCTTCAGAAGACAACTTTTAAAACCAGATCAACAAATGGTTTTTGCACCTGAAACCTGGAATACTGCTTTCCACTTCAGAGAAAAGTGACAATGAAATATGTATTTTGGTTTTGCATTGTCAAAAGAAAATGTTAACACTCAGCATTCTTCAAACAATCTACTTTCCATTCAGAAGTAAAGAGCTCAATGGAATATCTAGCTGTTTGGCAAGAGAAATGTTTTGATCAAAATCTAAATGCTAGTCCCAATTAAGATGAGACCAGCTGAAGCAGTGAGATTTACATGTGTGTTGATATACCTTTCCGCAACTGATTTTGTGAATCTACTTCAGTTAAAATTAGCAATTGCATTTAAACCAGGATTGGAGTTGTGCGACCCTCCAGATAAGAACTTTGTCTATTAAAAAAAATAAAAATAAAAAAGAACTTTGTCGTATTTATTTTATGCCAAAAGCATTGCATAAATAAGTATTAAACTGATAGAGAAAGTGCAAGTGGCTAATGGTAGGTTACATACCTGTGACCATCTTTCTTCGAGTGGTGCTCTGCGAATTCACACTTGTGGAGAGACTGCGCCTGCGCGGGCTCCAACGGAAACTTCTACGTTTGAAACTTTTGAAGTTTTGGCGGTAACCCCGCCCAGCCCCAGCAGGGGATAAAAGGGCGCCCCGCTCGTGCGCTCCAATTCCTACGCCGCCACGGTAGCGAGAAAATTGGAGGTTTGCTAGAGGGGAGGCTGGGCGGGTTAGTGTGAATTCGCAGAGCACCACTCGAAGAAAGATGGTCACAGGTATGTAACCTACCATTTTTCTTCGTGGTCTCTGCGAATGCACACTTGTGGAGACTAGCAAGCTCAGGTCCCGGAGGCGGGAAGTAAGCAAACCAACCATAAGGATCAAGGGCCAAACAATTTTATTAAGTGCAAAAACAGTCATAAACAAGAGATTGTGATCACTTCTGAAGAAGGGCATAGTGCATAACAAGAGGTTGCAATCACTTCCAAAGAAGGGCATAGTGCATGAACTTATGGGAGTACGTGATCCTCCCGGTCACTTCAAGGTGACTAACAATTGAGTAAACTTATGACCCTTGAAAATAAAGCACATGGTAATTACCGAATACACTCACAATAATGAGGGCACCATCTTAGTAATTCAGCAACAATTACCGACAGAATATAACACATTAGTAAGGCAAATAACATCGATAATGGCACAGAATACCCGTAATGGGCCCATTAAGGCAACAGTAGAATGGCAGCCTGAATACCAGGCAGCAAGGCATCGAGGGTAAAGGTGCAACTTCCTTCCCAACAGCGAGAAAGCAGTATTCAAGTAATAAACATGTTACACAATACATTCAGTAATACACAGTATTGACACGAAAAAACCCCATGTCGGTACGCATCCTATGTTCCATTTCGGGCCCTAAAGCGGATCTGAGCCCAGAACCGCCCTCCCAAAGGCCATGTCAGGCGTAAACCTAGTGTTTAACCTGTAATGAGTCACAAATGTTTGGGGATTCTTCCAAATGGCCGCCTTGCAAATAGCGTCCAGGGGAATCCCCTTTAGGAAGGCCGTCGAAGCCGCCATAGCCCTGGTCGACCGGGCCCGGACGACCGAGGGTGGTTGTTGTCGAGCTAATTGGTAGCATAGCTCGATGGTCGAGGTAATCCAGTGGGACAAACGTTGCGCTGAGATCGGCAAGCCCACCTTGTCGGGAGCATACGCTACAAAAAGTCTGTGCGACCGCCTAGACTGGGCAGTTCTGTCCCTATAGCACAGCAATGCTCTCCTCACATCGAGCATGTGAAGTGTCTTTTCCCTCGGGGTCGAGGGGAGACACAAGGAGGGAAGAACAATGTCCTCATTGACATGGAAAGGGGACACGACCTTAGGGAGGAATGTCACATCTGTGCGGAGAACTACTCTGTCCTCGTGAACGACAAAATAGGGTTCGTCCACCCGCAAAGCCGCCAACTCCGACGGGCTGAGGTGATGGCAACTAAGAAGGCCACCTTCCATGACAACAACCGCAGGTCAGCTGAGAGCAAAGGTTCGAAAGGCGGCAGCCCAAGCCTAGCCAGTACAAGGTCAAGATCCCACCCCGGGGTCGGAGACCGAACCGGGGGATACAAGTTGTTGAAACCCTTCAAAAAGGATTTCACAGAGTTGTCTTTGAACAGGGAAGCCTCCCCTGTTCGCTGGAGCTGCCACGATATGGCGGCCAAATATGACTTGAGTGAAGACAACGACAGTCCCCGCTCGGTAAGGTGCAGCAGAAAAGAAAGGATCGTCGGTATCGACGGTCGATGATCGTCCAGACCCTTATCGGCAAGGAAGGCCTGGAAACGGTTAAGGCAGGCCGAGTAGCACTTCTTGGTGGCCGGCTTGTGTGCTGCCTCCAAGATCGGGAGGACTCCTGGGCACAGCGACCTCAACACCGGATCCTCCACGCCGAAAGATGCAGAGAAGCGATGTCGGGGTGGAGGAGTTGACCGTCCTCTCGAGACAGCAGGTCCTGCCGAAGCGGGAGGCGCCTCATCTGCCCCTGGGACAGCTGGAGTAGAACCGGGAACCACGGTTGCCGTGGCCATTCCGGTGCCACCAGGATGCAGTCCGTCCGCGCCGACTGGATCCGCTCGATCACCCTCGGGAGTAGCGGGAACGGTGGGAAGAGGTAGAGCAGGTGCCTCGACCAGTCCAACAGGAACGCGTCTCCGAGACATCCCGGTACCGTGTTCGGAGCAAGTCGAGCACCGAACTGGGGAAGATGAGCATTTTGCGGCGACGCGAAGAGATCTGCGACTGGAAGGCCCCATTCTTTGAAGATCTCCGCCAGGACGTCGGGGTGTAGCCTCCACTCGTGGGATGTCGCCCTGGTCCTGCTGAGCGCGTCGGCCTCGGTGTTGCTCTCTCCCGGGAGGTGTATTGCTGATATCGACACCGACCTGGCCACACACCAATCCCAAAGTTCCATCGATAGCGTAAGGAGTTTCCTCGAGCCCGTTCCGCCCTGCTTGTTCACGTAGAACATTGCCACCGTGTTGTCCGTGAGAATTTGGACAGTTTTCCCGGCAATCAGGGGGGAAAAGATTTTAGGGCCTTGAAGATCGCCAGCAGCTCCAAGTAATTTATGTGGCATTGTCTTTCTTGCGGAGACCACAGGTCGTGAACTGAGAGGTCTCCTGTATGGCATCCCCATGTGAACATCGAGGCATCCGTCGTAATTGTGACGGCTGGGGGATCTGGGTGTCACCATCACCTCGCGAGCGGTGTTACCATCACCGTGGAGGCCATGTGCCCGAGGAGGACTTGCACTTGCTTCGCCGGGACCACTCGGGAGCGACGCACCTTGAGCACTTCGGCCCGAAGAGCCCTGAACCTCTCCTCCGGAAGGAAGACTGTCCAGGAGAGAGAATCGAACATGGCGCCGATGAACTTTATGTAAGTGGTGGGCTGGAGCTGCGATTTTTCCTCGTTCAACTGAAGGCCCAGGTCTTCGAGGAGAGAAAGTGTCCTTGTCACTTGCGCCTGTAGAAGGTCCGGCGAGCGTGCTGCCAACAGCCAGTCGTCTAAATAAGGGAAAATCCGGATTTTTTCCCTTCTGAGGGCTGCTGCGACCACCGACATGCATTTTGTGAAGGTTCTCGGTGCCGTCACTAGACCGAAGGGAAGCACGATGAAATTGTAGGATTGTCCCGCTACTCTGAGGGCCAGGAAACGTCGGTGATGTCTTCTGATCGCCAGGTGAAAATAAGCGTCTCGGAGATCGACAGACGCGAAGAAATCCCCGTATTGGAGGAAGGGGAGGATGGACGATACCGTCACCATCCGAAACCTTCGATGC